AGTGGCAGGTGCAGGCCACCCAAGAAGGCAGCCTGGCCACCACACCCCATAGCTCAGCGTGTGACCTTCACCTCATCAGCAAGGTGGAGCCACTGAGACCATTTCTCTCTCAGACACAAACCCACTCTGTTCCCCCTTAGGTGTGTGTTGTGTTTTCCCAGCTGGGCAGGGTGTCAGTGGGGCAGCTGGACCCCTGAGCTGTGTCCTCAGACAGGCAGACCCTGTGTCTGGCGCTGAGACTGTCCAGAATCTGCACAGAGTGGGTGTGGTGCACACCTGCTCCCTTCTCCTGGGTCTGGGGATTTTTTACAGATGTTGGTGTTCACAGCAGTCTCTGAATCCATCATGCTGTTTTTGGTAAGAATAGTGAGTAATCTGACAAGAAACATTGTCCCTTTCATTATAAACTATCATTTCTCTATCATGCTTGGACTCTGTTGGAGAATTCTACCAATACCCACATAGATAAGAACAGCCATGAGTTGAAGAGACATATCATTTTCCTGAAGTGTCTTGTGCATAGCCAACTACTAGGTCTGAGTAAATGTGGAGGCTCACAGTGGACTCCTGTCCAGGGCTATGTGGTCAGGGCCTGATAGGCCTTTTTCAGAATAACTGGGATGATTATTCAAGGAACATGCAGAGTCTGGGGCACAGAGAAAAATGAGGGAAAGGAGGAAGAGTCACATCACAGTCCACCTAGTGTCACACTGGCCCCACAGGACACCAGGTGTAGGCAGTGAGCAGGTCCCCTTGCAGGGCAGGAGGAAGGCAAGCTCACAGGACACAAACCCCAAATGTGCTGTGCTCTTTGGGCTGGGTGGCTGCACACAGAGCAGCAGGGGGAGCTGTGGCTGTCCCAGCTCATACTCTGAGGGCCTGAGAGGCTCCTGCTGCATCTCTTCTCCACACTCACTTTCCTGCTTCATTTACAGATGAGCGTGACAGTCTGGAGGTGAGAACCTTAGCACTTGCAGCACCAGCAGGGACTCAAGCTCCTGGTGAGATGGCCTCAGTGGTCTTTTCTCTGCAACTCTGGCAAGCTGCATTTCACAGGAAGAATTGAATCTGTTCTCTGCCAATTTAAGGCAAAAAGAATGCATGTGGTAAAGAAAAGCTAAGGACCTGTATGCGTGCATTGTGTGTGTGTCTGTACAAACCCACTTCATGGCCGTCAGAGCCTGACTTTATTACATGGCTGGATGACACTGGCTGTGAGCACACTGTGGGTGCAGCTCCTGTGATTTCTCCTCCACTCACCATGTGCTTCTTAATTACCCAACAGTTCACGTTAATGTTTTCTCAGTGGAGCTGATGCAACCCCAGGCCTCAGACATCAGATGCAGGACCCAGGCCTGCTTCAACACTTGAGGAAATAATGTTTGGTAGTCCTCAGAGTTAGTGAGGCTATGACTGTGCACTGCTTATTCACTCAGAGATGATTGTTCTTCTGGAAATGAGACCATCTTTGGCAATGAATCCACGCTAAATGGGTCACAGGGAAAGGACAGAAATGTGCATGCAGAGGTCAGCAGCATCACTGGAGCGCCCCTATCAAACTGTCTGAACCAATAGTTTACTTTTAACAATCTTAGAATTTGCATATAGTGCAAAAAGTTTGATTTAAGATTTAGGTACTTACATTCCAAAGTGTTTTGACTCAGACACATACCAAACATAAGGAGAGTCAAACACAGGTATCTTGGAACAAATACTGTATTTGGGGTGGGGAAAGCAAACTGAAGACCAGGTAGAGGAGTGAGAGCTGTGCCCTTCAGGTCTCTCAGCAACCTGCGTCTGCCCTCTCCACCGTGCAGTCTCAGCGACAGCATAACCAGAGGAAGGCTGGGAGGCAGCCAATGCGGCGACTCTCCCCGGGACGGCAGTACCTTCGGCACCAGCACCTCCTTGCTGGGAATGAGGGAGCACAGAGAGAGTGTCAGAAGCTCTGTCCTGGGGTCAGCAGTGATGCTGACAGGGAATTCAGGAGAAGACACCTGCTGGGCTGCAGAAGCAGTGTGACATGGGCTGCATTACAGCTGGGAGCATGAACAGCCTCAGTCAATGGGAACAAAACCCCACACACACAGTGTGGGTCTCACTCAGGGTCACATGACGTTGTCATGAGACCTGTCTCACTCTTCCATGTCCCTGCCCCCATCACACGTGCATCTCCCCACACACCGCGGTCACTCGGCAGCTTCTCGATACAGAGTCAAATTTTCTCTTTATACTTCTCTTTTCAATACAAAAAGAAGAAGTCAGTATATCTCTCCATATCTTATACCTTAACAAAATTCACAGACCATCTTGGAATCAAAGTGTTGAAGAAAGAATTATCTTAATTTTATTTGGGTCTCAAAGTACAGGTTACAGACGAGGAAACCAAGGCCCACTGATGTTTAGTAAAGTCCCCTTGGTGACATAGACCCTGCAGACCCCATCCCAGAGCCTCCAGTCCTCCTGCTCTAGACCTTGAAGCTCTGCCGTGTAGGTGTCTCTCACCTGGATCTTGAAGGAGGAAGTTTTCATGCACTGTGATGGAAATGGCCAGATCCTCATCCTGTGGCTCAGGCTGCTCCTGGTCTAGAGCTTCCTCAGCTTCCTCTGGCAGGGGCCCAGCCTGGGCCTGGAGGGCCACCAGGAGAAGGACAGCAAGGAGGCCGAGGGTCCTCATGCTGGGGTCACCTGGAGGACAAAGGGCAGGAGCCTGACTCTGTGGCAGTGAGGAGGCTCAGAGACAAATGAGCCTCCACTCACCCTCTCTAGCAGAGATGAGGGCACGTCCCAGGGGATGGTGAGGGAAGCCCATGTCCTCAGGGTCCCTCAGAGGATCCTGCATTCTACTGTCGGGACTAGGACAAAGCTGAGAGTAGCAACAGGGACCCCACACTATTTTTCTGTTTCCCTGTGTTAGAATATTTATATTTTAATATCCAAGAGAATAAAATAAACAGGCTTCTATTAGCTACCTTCAGGGAATAAATGCCTCTTATTTCTTAACTTGGACCCTGGTACTGTTGGTGAGTGTGGAGGGGGTGGGGATCTTGTGCTCCAATTCTCCAAGTGTGGTCCCTTGACCAAATGCAAATCCTTTATTAAAGGGATTTATTCTATAATATTTGGCTTCAGTCAAAAGGCTGCACTCAAGGATCCAGTAGGAATCAGCACTGAATTCCAACAGAGTACAGAGTTAGTCCCTGCAGGGCTGGCCATCACCACTCTCATGAAAGGCCTTTCGAATTTCTGGTGGGCAGGCTCTTTCTGGTGCCAGTGAGGAGAGTGCAGTGATCTCGTCAGGCTTTGGGTGAAATGGGCTCAGTGAGATACATTGACAAAGAGGTAACATAGGGGTAAAAATATGTTTATTGTTTCCAGCTCTGTTGAGATACAAGCGATAATTAAAATTGTTTGTCTAATATGTTCTACCTTCTGATTTGATGTATTTCACACCTGGACCTTTATCTCATTCCATACACAATAGTCAACTCAAAATTGACCGGGTATCCAAACATAAGACCTAAACGCATAAAACTTCTAAAAGAACTTTGAATTATAAAGCTGTGGCATCGATCTTGGCAATTACTTCCTGAAACTGACACCAAAGGAACAGGGGGTAAAAGGAAAATCAAACAGGTGAGCGTGACCAGCGTGTGTGCACCTACACAGCACACACAGCACAGGGGCCACGAGCTGAGGGGAAAGCAGATGAGAAGGAAGAGGAAATATCTGAAACAGTGCATGAGATGTGGAGATAGTAACGGAATATATGAGAACACAGACAACTCAGTAACAAAAATAAATAATCTGGAAAAAACGAGCCAATGACTTGAGTAGACTTTTCTATCACACATATGTTATTGGGTACGATATATCTAATATACATACAAATAACAGAATGCTTTAAGCAGATTGTATGGTCTCTACCAGACTCCTCAAGCGGGACATGTGTTTCTGAAACAAACACTTTGATTTTCACCTTTAACAGAGTTGCTACCACCACTGAGGCTCAGACAGATGGGCACCACCTGGGGGTTCACACACTGGTCCCTCCGGGGTGACAGCACAGTCACGTTTAGACTCTAGGCATGGCTTCAATGACAAAATGACAAAGTCTGAGTGGAAGTTTAGTTCTGTGTTACTTACAGATCCTTAGGCTGGTCAGCGTGAGTGGAGAGGGCAGACAGCAGTCTCTGTCCCAAGGCTCTTGGAGGTACTGCAACCACACACGGGCAGGAGAGTCCTTCCCTATTTAAGGGTCATTTGGGATATTTCCCAATGTCATGGGGGTGTGGGTTACTTTCTCTTAGGTTGCATTTCGTTCCATTGGTTTTGGTTTTGTTTTGGAGCAAGTGTCTCCCTCTCCTGCTCTGCTACCCAGCCTGAATTAGTCAAAGCTGGGTCAGCACAGGGCCCCACACAGGGTACCCTGATCTCTCTGCTCAGCCTTGGTCAAGTCTAGGCGGCAAGAAACTATGGTTCCTCCATTAGTCCTAAGGCAGTGTACCCCGTGGTGCCCAGGCTGGTGACTGAGGCTGAATTACTTGGGCCAAGTGATAGTAAAAGCCACCCCCAAATCCAAGTCTGCACATCACAGTGCACACTCTGTGCAGGTGACAAGGATAAAGCTGCCAGTGTCTGCACAGAGGAAGACTTGGAATCTGATTCTCAACCAGTTTCTCCAGGACCGGGTCTAACACAGAAGCAAATCAAAGCCATGTAGCAGTAGGGGTGCTGGAGATCACCTGGGAGAGACCGCACACACCCCATTATTCATGGGCAGCACATGCAGGACTCTCCCTGAGTCAGTGGTGTGTGTGCAGCGTGTGGTCCCCTGCAGGGAGCAAACACCTCCTTGCTTGAACAACAGACATTTCAAGGCTGAATGATTGTCTCTGGACTTTGGGTCCAAGAACTCATGAGATTGTTTCATTAGACATAATGTCTCTTGGGCCATGTTGGGGAGGCTTCCAGGGTGACAGAAGATTGGCATTAGCCTCTATCACCTAGTAATACTCAAATACTGTCCTCAGAGCAATCCTGGGCAGGCTTAGGAGCCCCTCGGTACCAAGTCGGAGTGGGATGAACATGGGGTGGGGGGATGTGCAGGCTTTACCTCATGTGACCTCTCCTTGGGTGTCTCCAGGGGAATCATAGGAGGCCTATAGATCAAAAAGGGATCTGTCTCCACCATCCTCCTCCTCCTCATAGTGGAGTAGATGGGACTACATTGGAAGAAGGGAAATACATATCACCACTCCCAAGGAAATAGATACCTAAGGAGAGGCGACTGCACAGTCTGCTGAGGCTGGCTGGCCAGGGGCAGGCACAGGATGGGGTACTCTGGTGCAGAAGAACCAGGGCCAACTATCAGGCCCTGCCCATGAGCACAGTTTGGCTGTTTTTGGAACTGGATCCCAGGGATGCTTTTAGGTCCTAGGGTATTAGTAGTGGCCTGTAGGGTCCAGAGAATGTGGGTGTGGAGGGAAAATGAGGAGGGATGGTTTGTGGTGGCCCCAATAGGTAGCAGAACTTAACACTGGACCATCCTTTCTGGTCATGGAACAAGGGACAGTCCACAGTCATTTCAGCCCCAAACCCGCCCTGCACAGAGGACAGCAGAAAAGGCCATCTGCAAAGAGCACCACATCTATAGCTCAGGGCCTTGTCACCTCTGGGTCTTCCATCCTGACACTTGTGTGAGGTGGCTTATACCCTCACTTCCATTTTGGAAATGACGCTTTCATGTGGTTGTTGCCTGATTTAGTCAGTGTAAGTACTTCTTATTTTTGTCCTAGACTATGTCACTCATGGGACCTGGAGCCACATTCCTTACTTCCTGGAGGAAGGGGTGAGGGGGCAATGTCAGTGAGTCTTAAACCAGTAAAACCAGAGCTTTCCTCAGAAGCTACATTTTAAGCTGAGAGGTATGATCTTGGGACTATTCCATGGGCCTGTGTGGTCCTAGTAGTGGGGGTGCCAGTGACCAAGAGGTTCCATCTCACCATTGATCCCTGATACAGTAGCCAGGTGACACAGAAGACATTTTGTCACAATATAGAGAGGCTCAGCATCATAGAAAATGTGGATAATGTTGTCTCTTACGGAAGAAGCATCTGACTCCTCTGTGGTGACCAGACTGATACCCCAGCGTCCTGGGAAGGGTTGAGGAGGCAGGCAGGAGGTAGCGAGTTAGGCAAGACTGAAGCTCATAAAAGAAGTGTGATTGTCTAGGGGCCCAGGACCTGTACTGCGGCTTTAATAGCAATGACATTAGGAAGCTATTGTGTCACTCTAGGAGGCTGGTAGCTTGGGGAGGAGAGGCAATGTGAGGTTCCCTCAACTTTCCTGGGATAAAACCAGTCCTGAGTCACAGGGGCCCTGACATGGGAGCCTGATCTGAATCAGTGGTGCTGGGTGGTCCAACAAGGCCCAGGAAGCAACAGTCACAGAAAGGAGGTCCTGCTGCACTGAGGTGGTCTGGGTAGGAGATGCACAGTGAAAGATGCCTGCAGGGGAAGAAGCCTAAAGAAGTCTGTTTTGCATGAATAGAAATGGTGATGGCACAGGGAGCAAGGGCACCAGCACACATTATGGTTAGCAGGGGTACACATGTGTAGGTGGTCAGCCCTCTTGTTGCTATACCTGGTGGTGGGAGGCTCATGGCATCAGGTACAAAAACTCTAATGTGGCTGCCATCCCCTTGCCTGAGGCCTACAGGCACCAGTTTGCCAGCACCTGAGGAACATGGGCCTGTGAGCCTTGAGGCTGGAAGAAACAAGAACTTCATTCAGGCCCTGGGAGTCAGGACTCAGTGGCTCTCAGCTAGGCTGAGTCTGGAAGCCAGAGCCGTGGCAACTTGGATGTGGGAACCTCATTTGCTCCATAGTGGACAACAGCCTGGGTGTATAGCCCTTGAATATACTGGGCCATGAGCCACCTGCAGGGTGAAAGGGATCACACAGGGCCCAGCCCTGGATTTTAAGTTCTTGTATTCACTGGCTCAGCCACCCATGCCAGCCATGGGCCATGGCCAGGAATCTATGAAAAGGAGACCCTGGGTACAGTTATAGACAGAGTACCCTCCCCTGACACCAGATGTGACTGGCTTCCCAGCTGGCTGGGGCCACTGGTCTCCTGTGCTATGTAGAACTTCTGTGATACGGGGACCCTCTTTCCTTCACTCCACTCTTCCCAGGGCCTCCCCCAAGTCACCAGATGCTTTGTAGAAATGACCAAGAATCGTTCATTGGAGACTGTTACAATAGGGTCCGGACTCCACAGAAGGGAGAGAGGTGGAGCCATGAATCTTGCAGTAAGAGCAGGAGAGTGGGACGTGGGGAACATTTGGGGGTTGGCTGTTGTGATTAGTCCATCTGTGTGTGATAATTTGTGTTATAGAAGTTCAGCCCCTGTATTTCCACAGCAACAGGTGCTTCCTCTTTGGAAAGTGATATTTGAAAGGGAAGTCTGTGCATTTGATCCATTCTTTATCTCATTATCCTTCCATGTGAGCTGCTTAACTGAGGAAGATAACTTCTAGGTCTTCAGTTAAACATGCAAAGCATGTACATTTCAGTAATCAGGTTTAGATCTTATTCGAGCCTGGGCAAATGGTCCTGGTCATTTGGACACCCTCACACATCTCCCCACCATGTCTATCCATAGGGTTCTCATCTCTATTGCCCCATGTGGCTGTAGTAGCAGCAGCCAATGTGATACCCCAGTGGGCCTGCATCGACTCAGAGTAGACAGACACCCCTGCCCCATCCTGAACCTACCCTTCATTGTATTAACAGATGCTAGGTATAAGGATGAGCAAAACATGCAGCCTTCTCCCAGTACAGGGAGACACGTGTTGGAGAAAGTAAGCAGTCCCATGTAGCAAATGTGAGGTGGGGCTCAGCATCCATTGCATAGTGGTTAAGGCACCAGCTACATGTACCAGCTACATGGCTGGTGGGTTCAAACTTAGCACAGGCCAGCTAAACAACAATGATGACTGCAACAAGAAAATAGCCAGGCATTGTGGCGGGTGCCTGTAGTCCCAGCTACTTGGGAAGCTGAGGCAAGAGAATCGCTTAAGCCCAAGAGTTTGAGATTGCTGTGATGCCATAGCACTCTACCAGGGTGACATAGTGGACTCTGTCTCAAAAAAAAAAAAAAAAAATGTGAAGTGGGCTCATATTCTACCGTTAAAAATAAAGAGAAGAAGGGGATTGAGATTCTCAGGGACAAATTGTTGCAATTTACCCTTGAGAAATCAGGAAGGACCTCAGGGACAAACTGAAATTATAGTTGAGACCCCAGGAGTTGGGGGAAAGAGTCAGGTGTCCTACTGGGTAAAGTGCAGACAGCCTTAGATCAGGTCAGCACAACTCAAACACAGGAGCAAGAAGGCCCATGCAGACAGTTAGGAACAATGCAGGTGTCCAAAGGCCCTTGAGTTATTCTTTGAATTTGTCTGAATTAGTTCAAGGACTTCAGAACTTCATTTCAGTGGCAGGTATAGGACACCAAGGAAGACACTTCAAATCTTGGTATGGGACCTTTACCTCTACACAAGGTGGAAGAGCTAGGACCATTTATTAGACACAGACCCTCTCTGTCCCCCATGTGGTGTGTGTTGTGTTTCCCCAACTGTGTAGGGTCTCAGTGTGGGGCCACAACCCTTGAGCATCATCTTCAGTTAGGCAGACCCTGTGTATGGGGCTAAGACCTGCTCAGAAGCAGCATGGAGTGGGCGTGAACACCTGCTCCCTTGTTCCCTTCTGATTCTGCATGTGTTTGTTAATATTGTTGGTCACAGAAGTGTCTGGGCCTTTCAGATCTTTTTTGTTGACAATGGCGAATAATCTCCCTTGGAACCCTGTTTTTTTTCTTAAACTGTAGTCTCTCTGTCACTCTTGCATTCCTTGAGGGTATCAACCAGTGGCCACCATGACAATAGCCATGAGTTGAAATGAGAGACACTTTTTCCAAACATAGCCCAGGTAAATGTGAGTGGCTTCTGATGGACATCTCTCTGGGGTCTGTGGACAGGTCCTTGGGCATTTGAAAGACACTTGGACAAGGGTGCCAGAGTTGGGGAGTGTCAGGGAAGGAACAGAGAAGAGAGACAGCAGGAAGTCTCAGAGAAGAGAGACACCCACCTGGATGTCTGACCAGGCCACAGTGGTGCTGGGATTAGGCAGTGAGTGTGTTCTCTGGGAAGGGAAGAAGAACACAAGTTCAAAAAGGCACAGACCCCTAGTGTGGCATAGGTGGCAGGGGAGCTGTGGCTGTTCTAGCACTTACTCTGTGATCTAATAGATCACTTTGGCTGCTGTGTTTTTCCAGACCTGATTTTCTTCCTGTGCTCAGCCACATGCATGGTGTTTGGGTAACAGGCCCTCAGTACCTGCAGCACCAACGGGGACTGCAGGTGTCAGAGAAGTCTTTTTCCTAATTACATGTTCCACATACACTTTTGAAGCTGCATTTTATAGGCAGGGTAATGATCTTCTCAGTTTTAAAGCAACTCAGAGTCAAAGTCCAGTTGATCAATTGTGTGTTTGCATTTTGTGCATATGGAGAGAAGCTTATGACAGGGCTGGATAATACTGATGATGAGCATATCCTAGGGTGGGGCACCTATGCCTTTGTCTGCTTGTTATGTCTTCCTTAACAACCCATTCTAATCTAAATTAAACTTGTGTCAATGGAGAGGATACAGCCTCATGTTTTAAACGGCACAATTGTGATCTGGATCTATTCCATATGATGACAATATTTTTGCATGGAGGGTTGAGGTTTGAGCACATAAAGGTGCTATATCTGTGCACACTGGACACTGACAGTGACCGTGGGTGTCACGCTTGGAAGTTGTCTTTTGGAGGAAATCCAATTCCAGTGAGTTTCAGTGAAACTCGAGGGAAGTAGATGGAGATCCACAGCATCATTGAAGCTTTTATATCAGTTTCTGTTGGAGGCCACTCTTCATTCCTGATATTTATGCAATTTATAATTGTATTTTGTTTAAAAAGTTTAACCTAGGATTCTGGTCCTTCTATCCCAAAGAGTCTCAACTAAGACACATTTAGATTATCAAAGGGCTGCAGACACAGAGGACTTGCTATGAAGACTTTATTTGGGATGAGGGAAGGAAATTGAGGACAAGGACTAGAAGGAACAAAAGTTCGGTTCTAGGTCTCAAAGCTCTGTGTTCTTGATGCTCAGCGGCAGCATAAGGTGTAGCGGAGGCCCCCGGAGGTGCAGGTCCCATAGGTGCGCTCTGGCCGAGGACAGCTTCCTCTTCTGCAGTAGCAGGACAAGCGCCTAGTTGAGCCTGGGGACACAGAGAGCATCAGGCTCTAGGACTGGGGTTGGAGGTGGGAGGTAGAGGCAATCCCTTTGCAGCTACGTGCTGGGTTGAGTGGGTTTGTTTTATTGGCAACATCACAGCTGGCAGCACCATCAGCCCAAATGAATAGGAATAGAAATAGGTGGCAGTGCTGGTCCCACAGAGGGTTAGAGGCCCACTCCTGTTTTATGGCTTTTTTGTCTTCCAGCTAAAATACACATCCTTGGGCTAGTCTCCACTTTCTTAGGCTCCTCTCGCAGATAATGTAAAACACAGTTCTTTAATGGTGGAATCTTATCTATGACACAGGACATACCTCTAGTATGATTCTCCATAGTATAAAGGTAGTGAACATCACAGAGTCATCATAGATAGAAAAATCACTGGAGAAAGAAAGGCGCCTCAAAATCATCTGGTTATTACCTTTCAGTATATACAGGAGGAAACTGAGGCCCAGTATAGTAATCACCTAACGAGACAGAGCCAGTTTCTGGGACTGAGTCTAGAGGCATCTGGTTCTCCTCTCCAGACACCCCAGCTCTGCAGTGTTGGGGTCTCTCACCTGCAGCTCTGAGACCTGAGCTTTCATCCTCTGCAAAGGAGATGGCCACATCCTGGTCCTGCACCCCAGGCTGCTCCTCGGCTGGGGCCTGCTCAGCTGTCTCTTGCAATTGCCCACCCTGGGCCTACAGAGCCACCAGGAGAAGGGTGGCGAGGATGGCCAGGGTCCTCATGCTGGTGTCACCTGGAGCACAGAGAGCAGAAGCCCGAGTGTGTGGCAGTGAGGAGTCAGCCTGTATTTATAGGTTAGTGGGAGGAGGCTTAGAGATAAAGGCTGTAGTGAGGATGGTGAGCACCTGGTTGGGAGGGTGAGGGCTGCCCTTGGCCTGAAGGGCCCTTTGATGCTCCTCTGTTCTCAAGGCTTCATCTACTAAGTCTGTGTGTTTAGTGTGTGTTCTGAGTCCAAGCTGCTAGTGATGGCAAGGACACTCCTCTGTTTCCTGTTTCCCATCTGCTGGAAATATTTACTTTTTCATACTACAAAAAGAAAACAAAAGCAGAAACAGTGCTTTGCTTCTAAAATTCAGAGAAGAATTACATCATATTCTGAAGATAGTAGATAGAATGCCACTGTCTGGCATTCTACACCCTGGAGCCAGTTGACCCCCAATGGGATAGAGAATCAACTCATTTCAGGATGCAGGATGCAGTGGCATTTCTACCCGAGGTTAAGGGGTGAGTAGGTCCCTGCTTGGCCCAGACTCCTCAGCACAAAAAGTTTATCAAGGTTTAGGCTAAATGAACTTGGTAGGATGCCAGGTACAGAGTTGATCTAATGAAAGTTAACAAAATGTTCATTAATTCTAGCTCTATTGAGGCATGAGTGATGACTAAAAATTGTAAATATCTAAAATGTGCAACCTGATTTTTGAGATCTTATTTCAGACTATGTATAAAATCAAATACATACAAATTGACAATTCAGACACAAACTTGACACCATGAAAGGACTGGAAGAACACACAGGGATGAAGCTTCTTAATGTAGATCTGGTCAATTTTTTTTTGGATACAAACATCAAACGCACAGGTTAAGCAAAGATAGGCAAGTGGGATTGCATCGAACTAGAAGCTCTGCATAGCAGGAAACCACCAATTTAGTGAGAAGGCATCCAGCACGACAGAAGACATTTGTAAGCTACATATGTACTAAGGGGTTGACATCGAAATATAGGTAACTCAAAACAAATCTAAAGAAGAAATATCCATGATAAATGTGACCAAAGAACTAAAAAAAAAGTGAGCAAATAAGTAAAGGAAACTATGATGATGACATCTCATTAAACAGAAAATATCAATGAAGTGAAATTTTGGACAAAAAAAAAGAAATTCTGAAATTGATAGAATAACTGAAATGTGCAATAGGAGATTTATAGTGGTAGAAGAAAGAATTAGGAACATTGACTATGGATTGATAGAGATTGTGCAATCCATGAATAAGGAGAAAAAAGGATGAAAGAAAATGAACAAAGAGAAATATGGGGCATTATGAATTGTTAAACTCTCACTAGTATCAGAGGGAGAAACTCAGTCTGATAAAGGGCGTCTATGGGAAACTCACATGGCGTCATAGTCAAGGGTAACACACAGGATGCTTCTTCCTGATCTCAGGGATGAGCCAAGGATGTCTGCTGTCCCTCAAGCTGCTCAATACTGCACTGACCTTCTTGTCAGGACAGTTAGGAAAGAAAATAAATGAATGTGATCTAGATTTTTAACATGAGAGTGTTTCCATGTGGTAAGAAGGTCTAGGGTATGGCTGTGGGGTTGAGGAGGAAGGCAGAAGATGGGGAAGGTTCCTGGAATTGAGAATTCAGAACACTGAGAGGCTTATTGGTGGCTTTGGGAGGCCATATGAAAGCAATGTCTTTTCCCACCCTCCAGAGTAGGTGTTCTGGAAACCAAGTCCTTGAAGCAGAAGAATTTGTGCCATCTGGGATCACACTAGAAATACAAATTCATAGGTTCACCCCAGACCTACTGAATGTGCTCTGTGGAGTGCATTGCAGGAAATGGGTTCCACAGAGACCTCACTAACCTCAAAGATATGGATGGCTTGTGATTCACACACACACAGGACAGAGGCTTCTTCTCCCAGGTCTTTAGCAAAGCCCTTGATAAGAATGACTTCTCTCAAATCCCGTAGCTGAGATCCTTGCAGGGGGAAGGAATTCTGGAAGTGTGTGGCCATTTCCAGAGATGTTCCTTTTGGCTGTAGGGTTCCCTTTATCATGCTAATGCATAGAAATGAACAAAGTAAGAGAAATATGGGGCATCATGAATTGTTAAACGCTCACTAGGATCAGAGGGAGAAACTCTCTCAGTCTGATAAAAGGCATCTATGGGAAACTCACAGCTGGCATCATAGTCAAGGGTAACACATGGGATGCTTCTTCCTGATCCATTTTCTGAGATCAGAAAGAAGCATCCCATGCTGAATCTAATAATATAGGAATCTTATTAGATTCACCTGATCTAATAAGATGGGCATCTTTACTTGAATTTGGTAAAGGTTCCCATTTACTTAAATTTGGCATTCATTTACCCAGAGCGAGATGGCCTTTTACCTTGGTGCAGATTTCTAATGAAACTTGTCTCCTCCACTCCAAATTTTGCCTGTATATTATGAGTCACAGCTGTTTGTGTCCCTTTCTGTACTTGTGTGTGATGATGCCAGTCATCACCCTCATCTGGATATCCTACCTGAGTGTTTCTACTCAGATCCCTGATCTAAGAGGGCCACATACTCTCAGGGTAAATTTCTGATTTATTAGTCTTGACCTGAAGGAAAATTCTGTGTTTTTTATTATTTGGCCTGCCTTTGGAAATTAAGAAAGGTTCCCAGCTTATTTTAAATGGAATTAAAGATAACACAGACCAGTCCACATGGCTGTTGGTAAATATTCAGACAGATGGAGAACAGGGAATCTTACTAGGTTCTTTATTAGGACTCCTGAAATAATCACAGGCACAAAGCAAATAGAGGGGACACTGGGAATAAACATAACCCCAGAGAGGTTTGGGGACAATAAAGGAAATTTCTGTGGTTTCCTTCTCTCTCCTAAATCCTCTCCCTCTCTTCATACTCACATATGTTCATGTACCAAAGCATAAGTCTTATTCTGAAGGGCACATTACTCTTGCGTCCTGCTTTTTAAAAAGGATATTTGCATATTTTTTCCTTTTATTAAGTCACATACATATAGATCATAAATACATTTATGCATTTGTGGGGTACAATGTGTTGATTTTTTATACAATTTGGAATGGTTACATCAAACTAATTAATATAGCTTTCATCGCATTTACTTAATTATTGTGTTAAGACATTTATGTTCTATACTTGGTAGGTTTGACTTGTACCCTTACAATATGCTCCATAGGTGTGGTCCCACCATTCACCCTCCCTCTATTGAACCTCCCCCCTGTTGAGCCCCCCCTTCCATCCCCCTCTACTTCTCTCCTTCATACTGGGCTATAGTTGTGATCTATCTTTACATGGATGGAGTTGGAGAATATTCTTCTTTGTAAAGTATTTCAAGAATGGAAGAAAAAATATACAATGTACCCAATACTTTCATGAAACCAATTTATAACTGTGTCCTGCTTTTGATGAACAAGGACAAACACAGGTTTGTGAATTTCCCTTCTTTGGCCACCAGGCTCCTGCAACCCTGTGAGAAATGATGTCCCTTCTATGACTTGCAGTCCTGAGGATGAGAACCTTATCCCTGTTAACTGCCTTTCTCTTGTTAACCCCCCCCCGCCCCCACATCAAAGCCCTAATAATAACTGAACATCTTGGAGATGCCCTCGGAATGCAGCCTGCTGGGGCCAAGGGCTGTGTCTGTTCTCTCCTCAGTAGCTCACCGGATGACATACTGATGTTTCCAGCTGAAACATCCTCAGTCATCAGAGGGTGACCTGCTGCCCATGCTGTATTTATTCCCTGTCAAGTGGGACCTGCCCCTGCAGGGAAATGGGTAGATAGCACTGCAGTAGCACTTCATGGCCAGCGGGAGGCAACAAGTATTTATCCCAGAAAGCCTTCAAATGGGAGCCCTGCAAGGTGGTGTTCAGCAAACAGGCTTTTCCTCTGAACCTCAGGGTTTAAATATCATCATGTTAGTTCCAAGCAGGTGTTCCAAGGAAACACAAAGGAAATTCCATAAAAAATGCTAGAATTTATCAATTTTTAAAATGAAATCAGCATTTTGAGAATTTATCAAAATAAATAGTCTAATGTCCTCCAGTGAGGCCCTGAGTTCACAAAAATGAGTATGATCCCTTGTGACTACTTCAGATTAGATGTGGGGCCTCTGGAGAGAGCACATCCTCCCTAGGTGCACGGCTCTTACCCACAGCAGATCCTGTACTTAGTGCGCTGAGTGCTCAGTCAGCATAATCAGCACAGAGCTTTGCACTGCTCTTAACATCATCTAAGCAAAGCCCAGTGTACTGACACTTTCTAACACAAAATAGTGACAATATATTCATACACTTATTTACACATGAGAAAATTATTTTACCTGAAGGTATATTTTTGGGACTGAAACTCGTGGTTTCTGATGCTACTCACCTCTCCCCCCACTTCTAAGAGTTTGTAACATTAAGAAGTTTGGTCTTAGTAGTAGAAAACAGTATACGAAGAAGTCCCAGAAGATTTACAGTTATCTGAATTATGACCTTTTATATGTTAAAAGGCATTTACATGCTCAAGGTATCTAAGTGTAGAGAAAATCTTAAAGCACTTGGCCTTAAAGGTTGGAAGAATAAGATCAGGGTGAGAGAGGATCTGTCCTTCGCATTATTTGGCAGAAGGCAAGACAAATGTCCTTGGCTTTGTGAACCATAGGTAACAAAAGGCCAGAACTGAATTAATTTTCTGAAAGGATTGAGCCTCTCCTCTATTCCAATCAATGGATCATCTCAGGGCAAAAATATTTCACCACCTCCCACTTTTGCAGCTGTGGTGGAGAGGGCAACAAGTGGTTAGTTACACTTTTCTTGCTTTGTGATGTGAGCAGAGTCCAGGACAACAGGAACATCTAATCTTCGGCAGCACAGATAGAAATTTAGAGACAAAAGTAGTGCCTTGTCTATCAAAGAAATTTTATTTTCTCCATATTAGGTTGGGTTTTGGGGGGAGGGATGTCTGTATTGTATAAAGAGAAAATTAATGTTTGGTTTTGGGAATGTGGCTATGTTCTTTAGTTGGTCAACCAGTGGTAGTCAGAATTAACTGGCCTATAAATCCCATTGAGATGGAAAATCTATTTGGAAGGTCTACATTCAGAGTCACCCATGAATTTGAAGTTTATGATGCCAGAGTGACTGCATGACCAAGGTTACCAGATTCAGATAGTAACTTCAAGTTACTGGCAATAATAGGAATGCAAAGAAGGACTAGGAACTGCCTACCCTTGAACCCCAAATACGATCATTGGTCTTCATCCCTCTAGAAATGAGAAGAGCTGGGATGATTTTTTGTTAGATACAAACCCACTCAGCTCCCCCTGAGATGTGTGTTGTGTTTCCTCAGGTGGGGTCTCAGTGGGGTGTCTGAACCCTGGGCTGCATATTCAGACAGGCTGACCCTGTGTCTGGGGCTGAGAGGCAGTGTGAAGAGGGCATAGAGAACACCTGCTCCTGGGTCTGGGTCCTTGTTGGTGTTGGTGGTCACAGCAGCATCTGGTCCCATCATATTCTTTTAGTCAACAATAGTGAATTATGCCTTTTTAGACTCTGTCCTTTTCACTGCATACATTAGCTTTTCTAAAACTCTTGAACTTTGGGGGGCATTTTACTAGTGTCTGCCTCAATAGGAGCAAGCATGGCTTGAACTGACATGTGTGTGGAGTTGCAATACAATATTTACTGCAACATATGGGGTCTAAAGCTGGACCCCTGTCTGTGGACTTCTGGTCAGGGCTTGACAGGCCATTTGAAGTACACATTATTCAAGGGGCAGTGAGTGTCTAGGGGAGAAAAAGAGATGAGAGGCAGGAGAAGAGTCATATCATATCCTACCTACAGGTCAGACTGGTTTGGGTACTGAGTATGACTTCTTGAATGTGAGAAGGATTTAAGTTCACAGGGACTAAAACCCAAAATGTGGTGCATATGTTGGGGTGGGCAGTTTCAGATAGACCAGTGGAGGGATCAGTGGCCATTTCACATGCTGTGAGAATCTCTGAGGGCCCTCCTGCTGCCTTCCTCCCCCAGACCTGGTGTCCACCCTCCACTCACACACGTGCACCATGTCTTGCATTTCAGCACCTGCAGCACCAACACAGGCTCCAGGCTGCTCAGAGAACTCTCTCCTTCACTACACTTTTTCTGGCATTCCTCTGAAGCTCGGAAACCCAGTATAATCAGTGGGTTTAAGGCAACCTAAGAGAGTGCATGTGTCAAAGTGCAGTTGAGCAATTGTGGGAGTGCATTTTGCATTTTTGAAGAGCAATCTCATGTATATAAAATGCTTTGGTAGATAGGCCTGGATGATACTGATAATAGCTCATGTATACACATACACATATCTCTATATATCTCTCTACACAAGGGAAGAAACCAGCACATGAAAAGACCACAAAAAAACAAAAAGGAAAAAGAAACGGTAAAAGAAAACACACAGTCACCGCGTTTAATGCTAGAACTTTATTTTGGAGACAGAAATGAGAAAAGACATAAAGAACACAGAGTAAATTGGTTTTTTTTCCCAGGATTTCAGATTGAGTCCTGCACTGCTTTGATTTCATCAAGGAAGCTCAGCGACAGCAGAACCTGTAGCGTCTGCCATTTTGGGTACAGTGTCCAACGTGGACCTCAGGGTAATCACAGCAGGTGGTTCGGCAATAGCAGGTGGCTCTCCCCTGAGGGCCTGTGGAATGAAGAGGGGGTCAGGCATATTGGTGAGGGGGAGGAAGGGACAGGCAGAACCATTATAACTGAAATAGTCTAAGAAGCAATATGCCTGCTAATAATAGAAATAGTACCAGTCATGTTAGAATTTACATCTTGTCATAAATCGCCGACTATGTGTTAGTCATGCAAAATCATAATTTTTATCCCACCTGAGTCTATTAAGTACATGTTTTTTACCCACCCACTGGACCAATATGCACCTTTCCACCTCAGGGTTATCTACTCCTCATTCCTCCTAATCCACACATCTAATCTTGAGTGTAGAGCATGACCTCCCTGTCCTAACAAGGCTCTCTGGGAACTAGATCATTATCTGCAGCTAAAGCTTCTGCAATGTACATGTTCATGCCGTGAACCCAATTCTTTGGTGCTCAAGGAGCCTTTGAAGACCCTCCAAATTCAAATTTCTCATTTTCTTTTTAAGATGTTATTTAATTATTTAAATTGGCAAACAATGACTTTGTATATTATAAATTGTAGAAAGTTTTGATCAAGCTAATTAACACACACTGGAACACACACACAGTCCCTTCTCTGGTTTCTAAAAGCTCCTCTAATAGACAAAGTAAAATATTTTTTCTATAAATAAGTCTACTAATTTAGACCCATAAAAAATTAGACACTATGTCCCTTTATATTTTAAAAGCAGCTAATTTCACAGTCATGTCTTGGAAGCAAAAGTCTTTGGAAAAAGAAAATCTATTAGATTTATTTGATTTTCAATTTACAGGTAGGAATATCAAGGCCCAGAAAGACTTGAGTAAAGTCATCAAAGTGAGATAGACTTTTCCAGACTTAATTCTAGAGTCTGTACCCAGAGCTTTCTTCTAGACTCCATAGCACAGCAGTATTGGGGTCTCTCACCTGCAGCTCTAAGAGCAGAGCTTTCAATCCCTGCAAAAGAGATGGCCACATCCTGGCCCTGTGCCCTAGGCTGCTCCTCAGCTGGGGTGTGCTCAGCTGTCTCTTGCAGGGGCTCTGCATGGGCCTGCAGGGCCACCAGGAGAAGGGCAGCGAGGAGGGCTAGGGTCCTCATGCTGGGGTCACCTGGAACACAGAGAGCAGAAGCCCGAGTGTGTGGCAGCGAGGAGTCAGCCTGTATTTATAGGTCGGTGGGAGGAAGCTCAGAGACAAAGGGTGCAGTAAGGGATGGTGAGCACCTTCTGGGGAGGGTGAGGGCTGCCCTTGGCCTGAAGAGCCCTTTGATGCTCCTCTGTCCTGATGGCTTCATCATGGCCTGTGTCTGTCTGTTTAGATTATGTACTGGGTCCAAGCTGTCAGTGATGATAAGAACACTGCTATATTTTATGTTTCCCATCTGCTGGAATATTTACTTCTTAATATTCAAAAAAGAGAAGAAACAGTCCTTTCATTCAATAAGCTTAGGAAAGAAATGCCTTTTATTTGTTGAAGATGGGTCTTGCTGCTGTATGAAGGTCTACTGGAGCTTTATACATTAATATTTAGGTGCTCAGATGTAGGAAACGTACATATTTATAATTATTATAACTTCTTGATAAATTGGCTCTTTTATCACTATTTTATTTTAAAGATTTTCTCTGTTCCTTTTTATAATTTTTTTTTTTTTTGCAGTTTTTGGCCGGGGCTGGGTTTGAAACCTCCACCTCTGGTATATGGGGCCTGGCCCCTACTCCTTTGAGCCACAGGTGCTGCCCTATAAATTTTTTAATGAAGAAATGGGGATGAGGCCCTAAATGGGATAAAATGCTTCACTCAGTTTCCCTATCTGTGAACACCAGAAAGTGGAAACAAAAGATCGAATGCTTCATGAATTTGCACGTCATCCTTGCACAGGGACTGTGCTAATCTCTACATTGGTCCTATTTTTTAGTATATGTGCTGCCAAAGGAGCACTCTTTTTATGGTTTTGGACTTACAGTCTATTTTGTCTTCTGTAAGTGTAGCTAAACCTGCTCCCTTTTGGTTTCCATTTGCCTGAAATATCTTTTCCTAAACATTCACTTTCAGTTTATGTCTGTCTTTATTTTCTATTTTATTTTAAAATAAATAGACAGGGTCTCACTCTTGCTTACACTGTTCTTAAATTCTTGATCTCAAGCAGTCCTCCTGTCTCAGCCTGCCAAAGTGCTAGGACTACAGGTGTGAGCCACTGTGCCTGTCCAGTTTATGTATGTCTTTGCATTTAAAGTGAGTCACCTGTAGGCAGCATATAGTTGATTCTTAATTTTTTTTTTTTTTTTTTTAGAGACAGAGTCTCACCTCATTGCCCTCGGTAGAGTGCTGTGGCATCACAACTCACAGCAACCTTCAACTTCTGGGCCTAGGTGACTCTCTTACCTCAGCCTCCCAAGTAGCTGGGACGACAGGCACCCACCACAATGCCCAGCTATTCTTTGTTGCAGTTTGGCCGGGGCCAGCTGGGGAGATGGAGGATCAAAAGTTTAGTTTTGGACACTGAGTGTGAGATACCTATTTGAGATCCTAGTGAATGTGTCAGGATAAATGTCTCTGAGTCTGGAGTTCAGCTGGGGTTGGAGCTGAAGATACCAATGTGAGATTTGTTCTGAAGTTGGCAGTATTGTAGAACCTCCACAGTTGGCCCCCTCCCTACACTGGTCACCTTCTTAAGTTCACCTAATTTTCATAGACCAGACATGCACCCCATGTATGTATCAGAATGGTAGGCTTCATTCCTTATGATGACCACCTCCTTGTGTTGACCAGTTTATGCCTTGGATGGTCAACTTACAGAGGTTCTACTATATTTGCCTCATGGTTTTGGAGAAAATTACCTAGGGAATGAATAATGCAAGAGAAAGTTAAAATTTGGATCATATTGGATGACTGGCTGAATGAATTAAATGGACTTTGGGGTTAAGAATTTAATATTCAAAGGCATTGTGGAACCTGGAACAATATTGACAAGCTGTGTATAAAAGCAACTTGGGCTAGAAAGCCTTAAGTGGTTGTGCCTGTTACCTAATTATCTGTTCATACTTACAGTATCAACATCTCATGAGACCTCCATTTTTGCACTCTTCTGCACTGGCCCCAGCAGTCTATCCTTGGTAAGCTAATGGTAGGACTCTTAATTCCATGAATCCTTTGCAAATCAACCCTTCCAGGTGAGACAAAGATCCTGAAAACAGAGTAAGGCACAAAGGAATTTATTTTTCTGGTTTTTCCAGTCTATCTTTGTTCAGTAGCCTCTTTTTGTCTGGAAGTAACGGTAAAACAGTGAAGTTAAGTGGCTTGCAGCTAGGTGGATTAGAATCTACCTTGCTCTATCTAAACTGGTTGGGGGTGGTCAGGGAGGGAGATCTAAATGCATCTTTGGGTCTGTGTATCTCTCTAGGCTTCTGTGGGAAATTGCCAGAGCAGGATGTGTTGTGAACCTATTCATGGAGATTTTAGAAGACCTCAGGGGTTATCCCATATGTTGAGGCTCAGAGGCTCAGAGGCTCAGAGCAGTGGGCTGACCTAGCATGTGAGTGTGGCAGATTTCAGCTCTGATATGTACTGACCTTGAGACCCTGCTACTTAACTTCTCTGTGCCTCTGTTTCCAATGACTTGAAATCTACTTATTCCAAATGTATTCTTATGGAGTATCATCTATGCACTATCCCAGGTGCTGAAGGTACCAAACCCTTCCCTCTTCTCAGAAAAATTAATTATTTCCCTCGACTCTCCAACTGTATGTACTGCTCACTCTGTGGGTGAATCATGGTCAAATCATTTTAACACTTTGTTTCAATGTCTGTCTCCCCTAGACACACTGTTGCTTATTATTATAATTTGTTTCTAGAGTATTATAATCTTTCTTTTTGACTTACTCCCCTCTTCCCTGAGTGCCTATAGTTTTTATTTGTTCCCTCTCTTAGTTCTCTTAGTTCTAAAAGAGTTTCACAATTTCATAGAAATTTATTTTCCCATTCTTCTCATCTTTTTCACATCATCTAGCTCTCATGGTCTCAGTTTTCTCAGTTGCAATGTGAAGAGCTGGCTTGGCAGTAGGAGGTCTTGTCCAGAGGTAGCACTTCATTGCCTGAGCACCCTCTTAGCTCTTAGTGGTAAGAATAAGTAAGAATAACTTCCTTGTGACCTTCCCAAGAAGCAATGACTGTATTAAGCACTCCAGCATTTTAGTAACTTCTGTCTCTTAAAACTTTTGCTTCTTAGCCAAGCCTGCTGCAAGGAAAAACACATTTACAAATGCTAATAAGGTGTCTAATGCTAGTCTCTGGGCCACTGCCCTTCAGGGGCTGCTGGTCTGAAAATTGCAGACTCAATGGCTTCTCTGGCTCACTTAGCACCATGAGAGCAGAGAAGGGTCAGGCCTTACAGGCACCTGCAGCAACAACCACTCAAGAATGAAGATGAATCTGAGCAAGCTGCTCTGCTGCCCACAGAGAAGGGGTGTGTGAGTGCTGGGGAATGTTTAGCCTGGGGAATGTGAGTGCTGGGGAATGTGCAGCCTGGGGAATGTGAGTGCTGGGGAATGTGCAGCCTGGGGAATGTGAGTGCTGGGGAATGTG